GGAGGGTTTGTAGGAAAGAATAGGGAGCCCTTTCACACCAAAATTTGCGCAATTCTATCGAACCGTTTCGGAGATATTCGCGAGTTTTTGTTTTAGCATTACGGCGAAAAGGGGGGGACCCCCCCTGGTGAGGGGCGACTGGCGGGCATGGGGAGGAAGGCCGAAACCCTGTTAGGCCACGTTTCAAATTTCAAGTCGATCGGACAATTAGGGCCCGAGATATCGGGGGGTCAAAGTTTGGCCCATTTCAGTCACCATTTCGGTGACCCCATCGAAATTTCGGTCGCTTGCGCCGGGGTCAAAAATTGAGCTACGAGAAAACGCTTGCGGGGGATTGTTCATGTGTCCGAATGGGAAGGAAGTGCTGTGTGAGCGGTTTGAAATTCGGTGCAACGGTTACAGGGAATTCTCGCGGCCGAAATGTGTCAAATTCGTGAACTTTGACCCTATGAAAGTCGGGTCCTATTGGGCCTAGAGAGAAACTTTTTTTTTTTAAATTGATCTACTCTTCGAGAGCAACATTTTGGCTATCTCGGATTTTTAAAATTCGCGAAGGGAGTTTCTGCGGGGAATTTCCGTTCGATTTTTGGCCTATTCTTTAAACCTTCAAAAATTCGCCATAAAAAAACTATTGAAGCTAGGACCACGAAATTTGGAGGGTTTGTAGGAAAGAATAGGGAGCCCTTTCACACCAAAATTTGCGACATTCTATCGAACCGTTTCGGAGATATTCGCGAGTTTTTGTTTTAGCATTACGGCGAAAAGGGGGGGACCCCCCATGGTGAGGGGCGACTGCGGGCATGGGGAGGAAGGCCGAAACCCTGTTAGGCCACGTTTCAAATTTCAAGTCGATCGGACAATTAGGGCCCGAGATATCGGGGGGTCAAAGTTTGGCCCATTTCAGTCACCATTTCGGTGACCCCATCGAAATTTCGGTCGCTTGCGCCGGGGTCAAAAATTGAGCTACGAGAAAACGCTTGCGGGGGATTGTTCATGTGTGTCCGAATGGGAAGTGCTGTGTGAGCGGTTTGAAATTCGGTGCAACGGTTACAGGGAATTCTCGCGGCCGAAATGTGTCAAATTCGTGAACTTTGACCCTATGAAAGTCGGGTCCTATTGGGCCTAGAGAGAAACTTTTTTTTTTAAAATTGATCTACTCTTCGAGAGCAACATTTTGGCTATCTCGGATTTTTAAAATTCGCGAAGGGAGTTTCTGCGGGGAATTTCCGTTCGATTTTTGGCCTATTCTTTAAACCTTCAAAAATTCGCCATAAAAAAACTATTGAAGCTAGGACCACGAAATTTGGAGGGTTTGTAGGAAAAAATAGGGAGCCCTTTCACACCAAAATTTGCGACATTCTATCGAACCGTTTCGGAGATATTCGCGAGTTTTTGTTTTAGCATTACGGCGAAAAGGGGGGGACCCCCCCTGGTGAGGGGCGACTGCGGGGCATGGGGAGGAAGGCCGAAACCCTGTTAGGCCACGTTTCAAATTTCAAGTCGATCGGACAATTAGGGCCCGAGATATCGGGGGTCAAAGTTTGGCCCATTTCAGTCACCATTTCGGTGACCCCATCGAAATTTCGGTCGCTTGCGCCGGGGTCAAAAATTGAGCTACGAGAAAACGCTTGCGGGGGATTGTTCATGTGTCCGAATGGGAAGTGCTGTGTGAGCGGTTTGAAATTCGGTGCAACGGTTACAGGGAATTCTCGCGGCCGAAATGTGTCAAATTCGTGAACTTTGACCCTATGAAAGTCGGGTCCTATTGGGCCTAGAGAGAAACTTTTTTTTTAAAATTGATCTACTCTTCGAGAGCAACATTTTGGCTATCTCGGATTTTTAAAATTCGCGAAGGGAGTTTCTGCGGGGAATTTCCGTTCGATTTTTGGCCTATTCTTTTAAACCTTCAAAAATTCGCCATAAAAAAACTATTGAAGCTAGGACCACGAAATTTGGAGGGTTTGTAGGAAAGAATAGGGAGCCCTTTCACACCAAAATTTGCGACATTCTATCGAACCGTTTCGGAGATATTCGCGAGTTTTTGTTTTAGCATTACGGCGAAAAGGGGGGGACCCCCCCTGGTGAGGGGCGACTGCGGGGCATGGGGAGGAAGGCCGAAACCCTGTTAGGCCACGTTTCAAATTTCAAGTCGATCGGACAATTAGGGCCCGAGATATCGGGGGTCAAAGTTTGGCCCATTTCAGTCACCATTTCCGGTGACCCCATCGAAATTTCGGTCGCTTGCGCCGGGGTCAAAAATTGAGCTACGAGAAAACGCTTGCGGGGGATTGTTCATGTGTCCGAATGGGAAGTGCTGTGTGAGCGGTTTGAAATTCGGTGCAACGGTTACAGGGAATTCTCGCGGCCGAAATGTGTCAAATTCGTGAACTTTGACCCTATGAAAGTCGGGTCCTATTGGGCCTAGAGAGAAACTTTTTTTTTTTAAAATTGATCTACTCTTCGAGAGCAACATTTTGGCTATCTCGGATTTTTAAAATTCGCGAAGGGAGTTTCTGCGGGGAATTTCCGTTCGATTTTTGGCCTATTCTTTAAACCTTCAAAAATTCGCCATAAAAAAACTATTGAAGCTAGGACCACGAAATTTGGAGGGTTTGTAGGAAAGAATAGGGAGCCCTTTCACACCAAAATTTGCGCAATTCTATCGAACCGTTTCGGAGATATTCGCGAGTTTTTGTTTTAGCATTACGGCGAAAAGGGGGGACCCCCCCTGGTGAGGGGCGACTGCGGGGCATGGGGAGGAAGGCCGAAACCCTGTTAGGCCACGTTTCAAATTTCAAGTCGATCGGACAATTAGGGCCCGAGATATGGGGGTCAAAGTTTGGCCCATTTCCGTGACCTGAACCCAAAAATCGAACGGAAATTCCCCGCAGAAACTCCCTTCGCGAATTTTAAAAATCCGAGATAGCCAAAATGTTGCTCTCGAAGAGTAGATCAATTTAAAAAAAAAAGTTTCTCTCTAGGCCCAATAGGACCCGACTTTCATAGGGTCAAAGTTCACGAATTTGACACATTTCGGCCGCGAGAATTCCCTGTAACCGTTGCACCGAATTTCAAACCGCTCACACAGCACTTCCCATTCGGACACATGAACAATCCCCCGCAAGCGTTTTCTCGTAGCTCAATTTTTGACCCCGGCGCAAGCGACCGAAATTTCGATGGGGTCACCGAAATGGTGACTGAAATGGGCCAAACTTTGACCCCCGATATCTCGGGCCCTAATTGTCCGATCGACTTGAAATTTGAAACGTGGCCTAACAGGGTTTCGGCCTTCCTCCCCATGCCCCGCAGTCGCCCCTCACCAGGGGGGGTCCCCCCCTTTTCGCCGTAATGCTAAAAGAAAAAACTCGCGAATATCTCCGAAACGGTTCGATAGAATTGCGCAAATTTTGGTGTGAAAGGGCTCCCTATTCTTTCCTACAAACCCTCCAAATTTCGTGGTCCTAGCTTCAATAGTTTTTTTATGGCGAATTTTTGAAGGTTTAAAGAATAGGCCAAAAATCGAACGGAAATTCCCCGCAGAAACTCCCTTCGCGAATTTTAAAAATCCGAGATAGCCAAAATGTTGCTCTCGAAGAGTAGATCAATTTAAAAAAAAAAAAGTTTCTCTCTAGGCCCAATAGGACCCGACTTTCATAGGGTCAAAGTTCACGAATTTGACACATTTCGGCCGCGAGAATTCCCTGTAACCGTTGCACCGAATTTCAAACCGCTCACACAGCACTTCCCATTCGGACACATGAACAATCCCCCGCAAGCGTTTTCTCGTAGCTCAATTTTTGACCCCGGCGCAAGCGACCGAAATTTCGATGGGGTCACCGAAATGGTGACTGAAATGGGCCAAACTTTGACCCCCGATATCTCGGGCCCTAATTGTCCGATCGACTTGAAATTTGAAACGTGGCCTAACAGGGTTTCGGCCTTCCTCCCCATGCCCCGCAGTCGCCCCTCACCAGGGGGGGTCCCCCCCTTTTCGCCGTAATGCTAAAACAAAAACTCGCGAATATCTCCGAAACGGTTCGATAGAATTGCGCAAATTTTGGTGTGAAAGGGCTCCCTATTCTTTCCTACAAACCCTCCAAATTTCGTGGTCCTAGCTTCAATAGTTTTTTTATGGCGAATTTTTGAAGGTTTAAAGAATAGGCCAAAAATCGAACGGAAATTCCCCGCAGAAACTCCCTTCGCGAATTTTAAAAATCCGAGATAGCCAAAATGTTGCTCTCGAAGAGTAGATCAATTTTAAAAAAAAAAGTTTCTCTCTAGGCCCAATAGGACCCGACTTTCATAGGGTCAAAGTTCACGAATTTGACACATTTCGGCCGCGAGAATTCCCTGTAACCGTTGCACCGAATTTCAAACCGCTCACACAGCACTTCCCATTCGGACACATGAACAATCCCCCGCAAGCGTTTTCTCGTAGCTCAATTTTTGACCCCGGCGCAAGCGACCGAAATTTCGATGGGGTCACCGAAATGGTGACTGAAATGGGCCAAACTTTGACCCCCGATATCTCGGGCCCTAATTGTCCGATCGACTTGAAATTTGAAACGTGGCCTAACAGGGTTTCGGCCTTCCTCCCCATGCCCCGCAGTCGCCCCTCACCAGGGGGGGTCCCCCCCTTTTCGCCGTAATGCTAAAACAAAAACTCAAACTCGCGAATATCTCCGAAACGGTTCGATAGAATTGCGCAAATTTTGGTGTGAAAGGGCTCCCTATTCTTTCCTACAAACCCTCCAAATTTCGTGGTCCTAGCTTCAATAGTTTTTTTATGGCGAATTTTTGAAGGTTTAAAGAATAGGCCAAAAATCGAACGGAAATTCCCCGCAGAAACTCCCTTCGCGAATTTTAAAAATCCGAGATAGCCAAAATGTTGCTCTCGAAGAGTAGATCAATTTTAAAAAAAAAAGTTTCTCTCTAGGCCCAATAGGACCCGACTTTCATAGGGTCAAAGTTCACGAATTTGACACATTTCGGCCGACGCCTCAGGCCGCCGGAGAGGAGGTCAGCTGAGAGACAGCAGGGGAGAGCCTGAGGAGGAGCAGCTGAGGAGGAGCAGCCTGAGGAGGAGCAGCCTGATGAGCAGCAGCTTGAGGAGGAGCAGCAGGAAAAGGAGCAGCCCGAGGAGGAGCAGCCTGAGGAGGAGCAGCTTGAGGAGGAGCAGCTTGAGGAGGAGCAGCCAGAGGAGAAACAGCCTGAGGAGGAGCAGCAGGAAGAGGAGCAGCAGGTGGAGGAGCAGCACGGGGAGGAGCAGCCGGAGGAGGAGCAGCAGGAGGGGAAGCAACTTGAGGAGGAGGAGCAGAAGAAGGAGCAGCAGGAAAGAAGGAGCAGCAGGGGGAGGAGCAGCTGTGTGCAGAAATAATTTTACCTTCGGCATCCACGTGTCGTTGGAGACCAGCCATGCTGCCACGTGCCGCTCGAGGCCCGCTATTCCTTAATTGTAGATAATAATGTTATAGTTTTAATGATACATTGTAACATTTAAATAATAAATATCGCATCTGCTATTGGAGAAGAGGGTTCTTAAGGTTCTTTTTACTGTATTCAGTATTTTTAACTTGAAATTTATCAGAGAGTATTCTTCTGGTGGCAACTTATGTCACGTGTTTGAAATATATTCGCCTTGGAACAAAAACTTAATGGCCTGCTAAGTTGACTGCTGTTTTTCGAAGCAAAAATGTTTGACGTCTATATCATGACTGTCAATATAAAAGCAGCTGCAGCAATTGATGATTTACACACTCGCGGTTTAGTCCATTGACGGTTCTCGCGACTGCAATTAAAATTGCAGGAAAGGAGAATAAAATGTGTTATAAGAAGTTAAATCGAACAAATAATATTTTAACTATGTTTTGAAGCAATTTAATTCGTAGGCAAGTTTATTTCGCTATGTAAAATAACACAGCACTCAAGACAAGAACGTACTATTAAAAAAAGGAAGTCTGAAAGGATTTAGATTGTAACCTCGCATCAGAGAGTTTGTTAAGGTTTTTTTCTGTTGCCGTTGAGCTCGCGGTTTATCTGCCTGATCTTGGATGCACTTCTCCTGACAGAACTACTTTTACCTTTTTATAACCATTATTAGTTTTTTGTTATTTAAGAAAAGAAATGCAAAACGTCACTTGTTCTACCAGATAGGTCATGAGGCTTGCAGAGGTAAGTAAATACCTCAGCTATATATAAGAGCTATGATACAGATGAAGAAGACAACACAATAATGTATGACACCTAGATCTGGAGCAAATAACGAATATATTGTTCCGGATTTAATATTTAGTTAGCAAGTTTTAAGAGAATTGTAATTAAAATCGTTTTATTTTCACGTGTAATGCAGCGCGTGACGAGTTTTAAGAGAAGCTACGCCGAAAATGTGAAAATACTGGAGCACGCGCATTTAATATATAGATATCTGGTAATTTGTATTTAAACTGAATAAATATAATTGACTACTGTGTTAGCTGGGACCATAATTCTACTCCTTTGCTTTCCAGATATGTCAAGAAAACGGAAATTACCAGAACCTTCTTTCTTCTTCAGAAGATATATATAAAGAAGAAAGTCTGTGTGTTTGGTTGTCGTCTAATAGTTATCGCCAGCAAACGTTCTACAAATCTTTTCTGTGTCCTGGAAAAGTTCGACGACCACTTTTTCCAAAAACAAATAGCTAAAAATCAGAAATGTTAATTAAATACTCGGCAAAAGCATAATTTTCGCCTTTATTTTTCCGAGTGACAATAAGCTGGAGATGAAAATCTTCTTTATTTCGAAAGTTGTTGCCAATGCTTGCTTTCAAATAATAGAGTTTGTTAATAAAAAATTTCTATGTTTTACGACAAAATAAAAATAGCATTGCCAAACATTAAACACAATATTCCCGATTCCGAAAATTCGCGGGAAGCCATTTCGACTATACCCGTCTTCGTACGACTTTAATTAGCCGAAATATTAATTAAAAACTTTGAAAGCGTTCATTTTCGCACTCATTTTTTCCGAGTGGCAACAGTCTCCCGCGTTCAAGATAATAATGCTTTATTTCGAAACGTGTTGCCACTGCTCGCTTTCAAATCCTAGGGTTTGTTAATAAAATATTTCTATGTTTTACGATTTAATAAAAATAGTATTGCCAAACATTAAATACATTATTCCCGATTCCGAAAATTCGTTGGAAGCCATTTCGACTATTCCCATCATCGTACGACTTTAATCAGCCGAAATATTAATTAAAAACTCTGGAAAAACGCTCATTTTCGCACTTATTTTTCCGAGTGGCAAACAGTCTCCCAAGCTTTTAAGATGAATAATCTGCTTTATTTCGAAACGTTGTTGCCACTGCTCGCTTTCAAAGCGTAGGAGTTTGTTAATAAAATATTTCTAAGTTTTACGATTTAAATAAAAATAGTATTGTCAAACGTTAAATACATTATTTCCGATTCCAAAAAATTCGTTGGGAAGCCATTTCCGACTATTCCCATCATTCGTACGACTTTAATCAGCCGAAATATTATATAAAAGCTCTGAAAGCGCTCAATTTTCGCTCTCATTTTTCCGAGTGGCAACAGTCTCGCGCGTTGGAGAATAAAAATGCTTTATTTTGAAAAGTGTTGCCACTGCTCGCTTTCAAATCGTAGAATTTGGTTAATCAAATAATTTATAAGTTTTATAAAAATCTCTCTCTATAGAATAAAAGAAAAATAACAGAAGAATACCTGTTTGTGTGTTTGTTTGTTTGTTCGTCGTTGTTGATTTATAGATCAAATATGATAAATATTTTTGCCACATTGAATCAACTAAAATTGAATCTAGGTGAAATATTGGATGGAACTGCAGCTTTTACAACCATTCGATTAGAAAGACGAAACTGTAGTAAAATAAATTAAAAAAAAACATGTAAAAATTTTTTGTGGGTGTGTTTCATACTTAAATTTAGTAACAATTATTACATAACATACATTTTTCTCAAAATATTAAAATATTAATTTAATAAAAATACAATTGGTTTATAACGGAGCAAAAAAATGGCTCACATAAGTGATGGGACACCATTAGATACTATTACGTACTACAATAAAAATATTTTTGGGTTTTTTTTTTTTTACTTAAAAGCAATTGGCAATAATTTATAAAATCGTCTGTAGTATTTCTCTCCAGTTTAGTTTGGAATTTTTTGTTTTTTAGCTCTGTGCAGCCATGAATGCTAAACGAAAAGAAACTTTGCCTGAAATTCGAAAATTAGTTATTAATTTGCGTATTGAACATGGAAAATCTATTAAAGAAACTGCTGAAAAACAGTTAACTTGAGTCATTCAACAGTATTAAATATCATTAAACGATATAAAAAGAATCATAGGATTCAGGATAAAAGAAGACCTAACCGACCATCAAAGCTATCCCATGAAATAAAGCGAATTATCATACTAAATATTAAAAAAAAAAAATCCAAGAATGAGTGCTCCTAAAGGTGCTGCTGATTTACAAGCATTATATGGAGTAATTGTTAATCCTGAGGGCTATTAGAAGAGTAATTCGATCTGCTGGATATCCCGGTAGAGCAGTCAGGAAAATTTCTTCGTAAGTGAAAAGAATAGAAAACTCAGACTGGCTTTCGCAAAATCCATCATAAAATGAATTCTGATTACTGGAATGAAGTTATATTTGCTGATGAGAGTAAATTTAATATATTTCGTTCTGACGGTAGAATTTTGGTGTGGAGAAAACCCAGGGAAGAATTTCGCAAACAGAACTTGGTGCCAACAGTAAAACATGGTGGAGGAGGAGTTATTGTATGGGGATGTATGTCGTCCGCTGGAGTTGGTAATCTTGTTTTTATTGACAGTATAATGGATCAGTACAAGTATATTGACATTTTAAATCAAAATTTGAAATCTTCAGCACGAAAATTGAACCTTCATAACGATTTTAAATTCTACCAGGACAATGACAAAGCACACTGCTTTGAACGTTAGACTCTGGCTGCTGTATAACTGTCCTGAAATAATAAAAACACCGCGACAATCTCCAGACTTAAATCCCATAGAGAATATTTAGCAAGAATTGGAATCAAGAATTCGCAAACCACACCATTTCTTCAAAACAAAAATTAAAATCGGTGCTTCAAGAAGAATGGGGTAAAATCACTCCAGAAATCACCAAAAAATTAGTCGAATCCATCCCAAGAGATTAAATCATGTTTTAAAAGTAAAAGGAAATCCAACAAAAATATTAAAAAACCTTTTAAAAAGTAAAATTTGTGGATAAATATTGGATGGAAAAGTAAGTGTCCCATCACTTATGTGAGCCATTTTTTGCTCCGTTCTAAACAATTGTATTTTATTAAATTAATATTTTAATATTTTGAGAAAATTTATGTTATGTAATAATTGTTACTAAATTTAAGTATGAAACACACCCACAAAAATTTTTTACATGTTTTTTTTAATTTATTTTACTACAGTTTCCTTTTGCAAAGGACAAGTGTCCCATCACTTTTGTGAGACACTGTAGACGCGCACTAAGAGCTGATTTTACGTAAATCCTGCCTAAAATGGATTTTTGTTATACAATAGAAGTTTCTCATATATTGGGTTTTCAAAATGCAAGTTCAGAATTTTTTATTGTTGCTAAAACTAGATATGAATACAATGTTGCCAATGAATGCATTTTCCTTTAAAATTATTAAATTGGTAAATAACTTGCATCTATCCAATGAATACATACAACATTTAAATGATAAGGTTAATACTAACGTTTATATTTAACTGTTATCATAAATTTCATGAAAACAAATGTTATTATTAAGAGAAATAATTATTGCGATGAAAAATAAAAGTGTTCTAGTTATCTATAAAAATTGCCATAAATAAAAAAAATCAAGGATAAATAATTACAATGGATTAAAAAATTTGATAACAAAGATATTATTATAGAAATATTTATTTTTCATGAAGCATATGATAACTGTTAAATATATATAAACCTTAGTTTTATGTTGGCAATCTTTCGTGGTGTAGGCCTTCTGGGGATCCCACCACGTTAAATAATGAAGACGCATCGCGATACACAGTGCCTCATGGGTGATGCGGAAATCTGTGTATGACAGATTCACTGACTGCCACTATATTTCCCAACTTTAAATTAAAAGAAATTAAATTAATTATCAATTCGAAATTAGATATTTCGTCCATATAAGAAGTCTAGGATCACATTCAAATAGATAGAATGCCCAGCAAAGCGGGCGATCAGCCAGTATATACACTCACGTTTGTGAAAATTGCAACACCAAGAAGGAATCGTCATAATTGAATGCAATTTAATACACAGTTGAGTGGTAGTGGTACAAATAAATGATTAAATGTTCAAAGCAAACAAACAAGAACAAGAGATCAGAATCAGTATTTTGTGTGGC